TAGACATTTTTCGCATTCAAATAGGCTCATTCATGAAAATGAAATAAAATTGATGCTTGTATGGTACCACTATTTCTTGTATGTTTCAAATGATTTAGTGGTAGCATATAACATGTTTGTGGGCTTGTGAACCTAGTGTTTAATCTAGAATATAAGCTATAAATATTTAACTCAACATGGTACAAGATAACCCTTATTTGGAGGTGTGAAGAAGCTTGTCCTTGGATCAAACCGAGCTAAATATCTTGTGCAAGTGATCTAGATTGAACCAAATTGAAAAATGATCCTCATTTCACATGGTTTCACCCCAACCTATCTATAATTTGAGCTCATCTTTTTGTGCTAATTGTTGACATTAATAATCCTAACCTATCTATACTTTAAGCCTTTGTGGTCATTGATAATAAAGGGAGAGAAATAGTGTACAAAGATAGTGAAAGGACAACAAAAGAGAAAATTTGATATAGGGGGAGAGATATAATTTGATATAGGATGAGAGATATGACAAAGGAAGGGGATCAATTAAAATTTTGAGCATACAAGTAGGGGGATTACATAAACTTGCATGATGCATTTGAATGTGCATTACATATGTTTTGCTTGCATGGCACAAGTTTTAGAGTTCAATATCCATGCTTGTGTGGTGTATGCTAGTTGTAGATTTGAATGATAAAATGAAAATATAGCATGCATAGGTTATTTAGTGATTTCATTTCCAAGCATTTACAAGTGGTATCTAGCTATCAACTGGTATCTAGATAAAGTAACTAGACTTATGTTCAACTTATGGAAACTAGACCCTTATTTGTAATGTTGATCTCATGAGGTATTCTAGTTTTTATGTATGTCTAGTTACTAATGGTGCTAAGGATGGTATAATGGTGCACTCCGATTGCTATCACGCTTCAAAGGTCCATCTCTTATACATTAGCATCATTTGGTAGAAATTGTCTCCTATATTTCCTATCTAAGCATATGTGCAAGCTACAATCCAAACTCTTAGTATATATGTAGAGGGAGCAATTGCTACCATATGGAGTTTATAAAACTTGTCCATATCCTTTTACACATGGTAAATATGCTTGGGCAAGCAACATGGATTCAATTGAACTTTAATTCATATCTTTGTAAAAGGGTTGTCATCAATTACCAAAAAGGGGGAGATTGAAAGCTCTAGTTTGGTTTTGGTTAATTGATGAAACCCTAAGTGCTAACCTAGTTTATCAAAGTGATTGTGAGATAGGTAGCATTACTCCAAGTAATGAAGCAATGACGAAGATCATGACGATGGTGATGGCATGGTGATGATCAAATGCTTGAACTTGGAAAAGAAGAAAGAGAAAAACAAAAGGCTCAAGGTAAAGGTATAAATAGTAGGAGCTATTTTATTTTGGTGATCAAGACACTTAGTGAGTGTGATCACATTTAGGATTGATAGCCGTACTATTAAGAGGGGTGAAACTCGTATTGAAATGCGGTTATCAAAGTGCCACTAGATGCTCTAATTCATTGCATATGCATTTAGGATCTAGTGAGTGCTAACACCCTTAAAAATGTTTGTGAAAATATGCTAACACAAGTGCACAAGATGATACACTTGGTGGTTGGCACATTTGAGTAAGGGTGAAGAAGTAAGAGGTGAAAATGAGTTAGTCGCGCTGGTCACAGAGTGACCGGACGCGTCCGGTATGGTGACCAGACACGTCCGGTATTAATGACGAACTCAGTGATCGGACATGTCCGGTGTGAATCAGCAAAATCAGTGTTCGGTGAGACAGTTGATCGGACGCAGGCAGCGTCCGGTCCGAAGTGACCGGACGTGTCCGGTCGGCTGTGGGTGCTTACTGTACTCGATCGGACGCTGAGGCTCAGCGTCCGGTCAGTTTCTAACAAACACGCCCGGTCAGCCCTAGGGGCTTACTGGACTCGATCGGACGCAGCGGCTCAGCGTCCAGTCGTTTTGAACAGTGCGTCCGATCAAACATGTCAGAGAGCCGTTGGTGGCAAGTGTGGGACACATGGCGGTATGTAGCTATCCGACGCGTCCAGTATGGCGATCGGACACGTCCGGTATTCACGACCGGTGCGTCCGGTGCTGCGTCCGGTCAATATGACCTGAGCGTCCGGTCATCCCGCGTTGTGCCCAGTGAAGGGGTACAACGACTCTATTTCGTGGGGGCTTCTATTTAAGCCCCATGGCCGGCTCAAGCTCACACTCTTGCATATTTTCATTGACATAGCAACCTTGTGAGCTTAACCAAACACCTCTCACTTATCTCCATCATTGATCCATCATCATTGTGAGATTAGGAGAGAATCCAAGTGCATTGCTTAAGTGATTGCATCTAGAGGCACTTGGTATTCGTGTTTTGCTGCGGATTTTGCTTGTTACTCTTGGTGGTTGCCACCACCTAGACGGCTTGATGCAGCAGTGGAGGATTGGCACGAGTTGGTGATTGTTCGTGGCCATCTCCGGTGATTGTGAGGGGAGTTGTACCTTCCTCAGCAGAGTGCCGAAAGGTAACTCTAGTAAATTGCTCGTGTCATTGAGTTACCTCACTTGTGGGTAGGTTCTTATGGTGTCCAATCGTATAGACGAGGTTTGTGAAATACGTCTTAGCCGTCGAACCATCAAGTGTTAATCGACACAACGGGGACGTAGCGTGTTGGCAAGCACGTGAACCTCGGGAGAAAATCGGTTGTCTCTTGCCATTTGATATTCTCCCGGTGATTGGTTCTATATTCATCTTGTGATTGGTTCAATCCTCTACACGGCGGTATAACGATCCTACTCACTCATTTATATTCTTGTAAACTAGTTATGGAAAGCTCTTTAGTGTAATTAGAATTGAGAGTTTGCTTTGATATTTAAGTTCATTTAGTGGAGCTTTTTAGAGTAGCAAGATTGAGAGCTCTTAGTGAGTAGTATCATAGCTAGTTGTGTGTTTAGCTATCATTAGAACTAGAATTGTTGGATAGGTGGCTTTCAACCCTTGTAGAGCTAGAGCAAGTTTGCATTTAGCTATTTGTCATACTAATTAAATTGCTCTAGTCGATTTATAGATTTTTAAATAGGCTATTCACCCCTCTCTAGTCATATTAGGACCTTTCATGCGGGCGCTAGCAGACAAGCACGCGCTTTTGTGACCGGCGTGGCCCGTGCGCCGCAGTGCCATCAATGACAAGGCGACGGCGAGCCCAGCCACGTGCGCGCGGCAGAGGCGACATCACACTGGGCCGGCAGCGGCGCAGGGTTACAGAGGGAGGCACGAACATAACGGCGAGGCGACGGCACCGACAGCGGCTGCGTCGCGGCGCGGGCGGTCGACAGTGCGGCAGCGCAGCGGGGCCAGCGGCAGCACCGCTCGGCTGCGCAAGCAGCGGCGGCGATTCCGCGCGCCAGGAGCTAGCGGCGGCCAGGCCACAGCTAGTCCAGAGCAGCCGTGGCCGGCCACGCGCGGCAGCGTGCGTGTGCGCGGGACAGCCAGCGTGGTGACGTCGAGCGCCCTAGCGTGGTGACCGCGCCCACATGGCTAAGCAGCCCGAGACCGAGTCGTGCACGAATTTTAAAACGCAAAAAACCACTAAACGATTGCTTCAGGAGCCAAACCATCTTCACCATGCTCAAGATGGCATATGAGACTATCAAATCGAGCTATAACACTACACCACCCCTTAACATAATCTCTCAAAATAATTTACTGAACATATCAATGTCTAGCTGTTGACAAACTCGAAAATTTGTCTAAGTTTTTGAGCCGAACTCGATTTCAATTTAGAATTTCTAGGCTGTAGAAATATTAGCTAGCAATATTATTTTTTGACAGTAAGAATTTCACTGTCATCTAAAAAGTTTGTACTTCAAACTTTATTTTAGTATCCCACACATGTTCTATAGTATTTTGCTTAAAATATTGGTTTTCAACCCTACTTGATATACATGAGCTATTGAATCAATTTTCATTTAGCATTTTTATTGATCATTTTAAATTACAAGAAATTTATCTACACATTCTATCACATGCATTAACACATAAACATGATGCTTATGACATATTTTAGTAAATGATTTAGGATGTAACACCGAGGGCGTTACAAGCCACTCACAGGTGAGTGCTCGCGCACTGTTTATATTCCGAATTTGAACGGTAGCAAGTATTTTGAATAGTGCCACGAAATTAAATAGTAACCGTTGAATTTGAATAGTGTTGTGAATAATAACTTGAAAATTTTAAATTTGAATCTTGAGTTTGAGTTTTTCTAGTGTAATCGAACCGTAACAGTGGTATATATATGGCTTCGCATAGTTTGAACCGCTAGCGGTATGTTTTCAGCCGGTGTCGCTTTCGCTGACCACCGTGGCAGATAGAACAGGTCCTGCCTACTGTACGCATTACATGGATGATAACGTGGCGCAGACGCCACACGCGGTTGTGAATCCGGCGTAGTGTGTGTGCGCGCGCGCTTTGCTTCCAAAGCGAGAAGAGAGACGGAATTGTTCCAAGAAAGGCCATGGTTGGTAGGGTGAGGTTGATCAGGCCAAGCCAAGGCCAGCCCCAGCCATGGGCACGCCATGACGCCACGCAAATTGTAGTGCCAGGTCGCTTGCGCTTCCTTTCGGAATAAATGCCGTCCTGAGCATTGGCACTGCCGCCCCGTAGTGTTGAGGTGCCGCGGCCGCGCCGCTGTCCCTTCTGGCTGCTGCTGCAGAGTCCGCGAGGAAGAAGGGGTCGCCGGACGCCACCGCCTCGTCGTCGCGCAGAGCTCCCTCGCGGTCTCGCCTACCGGGACAGGTCGTTTGCCAGGTCAGGCCGCTCGTCGCCTCCCCTGCCACGCGGGCCCCGTTTAGCCCGGCCGCAGCTCCGGCCTTGACCTTGGACACGGTCGCGCGCCACGACCAAAGCTTCGCCGTGGATTATAATTAATATAGCTGCGCGGGCGGCAGAGCTCGGCGCGACACGCGACCGCGTCTGCCGACCAACCACTGCGGGCCGCGGAGCATGGCCGGGCGAGACCGACGCGGGAGCCTGGCCCCGTCGTCGTCGTCGGGGTCGGGGTCGGGGAGGTGGAAGCCGGAGCACGAGCGGTGGCCGCGGAGCCCGGCGTGGTCGCGCCCGCTGTCCGACAGCGGCGGAGGCCGTGGCCGCAGAAGCAGCTCCTCCTCCTCCTCCTCCTCCTCCTCCTCCTCGTCCTTGAGGTCCCTGTTCCGTTCCATCGGGGTGTGGTTCAGCTCGCTCTCCACCGCGTCGTCGTCGTCGTCCGCGTCCGCGTCCATGAAGCGGAGGAGCAGGGACGCCGCGCTGGCGGGTGACGCCGGGGCCAAGAAGCCGCCTTGTAAGTCAACTCACCCCCCAGTCCGTGCCCTCCGCCATGGTCGAGCAACTTGTGCCCTTCAATCAATTGCGTGATGATGTTGATGGTCGTGGTCCATGGCGGCAGTGCCGGGGTACGCCGGGACGAAGACCTCTGCGCGCGGGCTGTACAGCGGCGGTGGCCACGGCAGCGGCAGGGAGCACCGGCCGTCGTTCCAGAGCTCCGTCTTCTCCATCGAGGAGATCCTCACCGCCACCAACAACTTCTCGCCGGAGCTCAAGATCGGGCAGGGCGGCTTCGGCGCCGTCTACAAGGGCGTCCTCCCCGACGGCACCGTCGTCGCCGTCAAGCGCGCCATGCTGGTCAGTCAATCCACCAAGCTGCCTGCTGATTTCTTCAACTCTCAATCGACGGATGAAAACAACAAATTTAAATTCCGGGATGAATGATCGCAGCGGATGCAGAACCCTCACGTGGACGTGGAGTTCCGGAGCGAGATCAAGATCATGGCGCGCATCGAGCACCAGAGCCTGGTCCGCTTTTACGGCTACATGGAGTGCGGCGAGGAGCGCATCGTCGTCGTCGAGTACGTCCCCAACGGCACCCTCCGGGAGCACCTCGACAGTAAGCTACCACCTGCCATTGCTGCTCTGCTCTCATGTTCTGCTTCCAAGTTCATCTCTCCCCTCGCCAGCAACCAACCAAACCATGAAAACAAGCAGGGTGCAACGGGCGGTTCCTGGACTTTGGGACGCGGCTGGACATCGCCATCGACGTCGCGCACGCCGTCACGTACCTGCACATGTACTCCGACCACCCCATCATCCACCGCGACATCAAGTCCTCCAACATCCTCCTCACCGACTCGCTGCGCGCCAAGGTGGCCGACTTCGGCTTCGCCCGCCTCGGCGCCGGCCTGGGCGCCGGCACCGCCGGGGAGGCCACGCACGTCACCACCCAGGTGAAGGGCACGGCGGGGTACCTGGACCCGGAGTACCTCAAGACGTGCCAGCTCACGGACCGCAGCGACGTCTACTCCTTCGGCGTGCTCCTCGTGGAGCTCGCCTCGGCGCGCCGCCCCATCGAGACCAAGCGCGAGATGAAGGAGCGCCTCACCGCGCGCTGGGCCATGGGCAGGTTCATCGGCGGCGCCTCCGCCGATGTGCTGGACCCGCACCTCGCCCGCACGCCCGCCGTGGAACGCGCGCTGGAGATGGTGCTGGAGCTCGCGTTCCGGTGCATGGGCCCCGTCCGACAGGACAGGCCCGCCATGAGCGACTGCTGCAGGGCGCTCTGGGCCATCAGGAAGACGTACCGGGACATGCTCGCCGCCGACGCCACGCCGCAGTTCTCCGACCGAGCCACCACCGCCAGCAGCGCCGACAGCAGCGGCGACCTCTGGAGGATCTGATCGTTCCAAGGTCATGAATCCTGCTACTAGCTGGCTGCTAACTCATTTGGTTTGACTGACCCTTAAGTTTGATGTAAATATACACTGGATCATTTTTTTTCTTTTGCTACATTTCTCCTTCTCGATTGTGTTCATTTGATGCTAAGCGTTGGATTCCATATGATTGTTCTTATTTTAGAACAGTTCTATCATTTTCTGAATTCTGAAAGGGTTCACCAAGTTGTTCTAGTTATTCTTGTAGGATTCTATCTCCAAGCTTGGTTATGAAATCATGCAGGGAGTAGGAAATTTCTTTCTTTTTAGTTTATTAGTTTGAGGGTGATGCATTTCGTTTGTACAGACATTACAACAGGATCATTCACTGTCTCTTATCTGTATTGATGAAGAACACGTGAACCTAGGACCAACTGATCGCATCTCCATCCCCAATTCTCACATCTTGCAATCCACCAAGTTCAACTCTGCTCTTAAGTTTGCAGCTTCAGTTCAGAAAAATGCACTTGTAACATGTTTTCGCACACAGGTTCATGCTTCCATATATGATATATCTTCAGTTTTGGTATCTGTTGCTACCTGCAAGTTGCAACATTGGACAGCAATTTGCATCCAACACCTGTACCTCACAGTTTGCATTCAACACCTGTATTTCAATTCAAACACCTGCACTGCACCTAGATATTTATTTAGCCATTCCTCGTGCCTTGTTTTTTGAAAAATTACAAGCTGCTGTTACCTAGATATTTATTCAGCCATTCCCCGTGCCTTGTTTTTTTTTTTTTTTGAAAAATTACAAGCTGCTGTCACCTAGATATTTATTCAGCCATTCCCTTTTGTGCTCTAATAGTAGTAGAACAGACGATAGAACTCCAAATCCAAGCATCTTGCGGTTTCGGTGTTTTTTTTCCCCAACTGGCGCCTGCGAGAAAAGAATAGCTCGGTTTTAGCATCCCCAGCAGCATACCAGGAAACTGAAACCGTGCTCTTAAATCCGGCTTGATCCGTTTATTTTTTCATCCGAAATAATATTTTTCTCTCACAAATTCCTCCAACATTTCTCTAAACCATCCAGATTCCTCCAAAATTCAGACAAGCGAACAGGCCCAACGCCCTATTTGTTTGGGCTGGTTACTTTTTCAGCAAACGAACAATATTTTTCTCTCACATCAAATCAGCTAATAGTACTTTCAGCCATGACTTATCAGCCAAACAAGACCAAACGAACAAAACCAAACAAGCCTCAAGAGAGCTACTAGAATTTCTCTGTCCCATCGTTGCAACATTTGTGAATGCCAAAAGTAAATTCTTCAGGACGCAGATAGAAACAGCAGAAATAAATGTGGTATCTTGGGGAGCCAGTTGCTCTCCTCGCCTGGACCAGTTTAAAACAGGGTACTCCATACTCCCTCGGTCCCAGAGGGATCGGAAGTCTCGGTTCGCGATTAGTCAAACAATCATGAGCTTTGACTTAGATTTATATAAACTATTTTCATATTTGTATCCGGAAAATTCCCGAAAAGGATTAGATGATGTCTAAACGCATTTAAACATTTTGGCACTGATAAAACACAAGGTGCAACCATCATCAACGCAACATACATGGTTCCTAATCTATAGTTCTTTTTTACTTTAGTTTTGAAAACACTTATTTTCCTATATAAAATTCAAGCAACCTAAACATAATTAAATCACTTGAAGCTATTTATGAAAACTGAAACTTTAGGGTGTTACAGAAGAAGGCAAACCATTTGCGCCTTTGTGAGGATATATAACATATTGAGCGACATGAGAGTATTATTCGAGGAACTTAACTTTGTTTTGCAAAAAATCTTGAAAACAGGAGAAGTAGTGCTTTGTCAAGTTGTTCTGTCTCTCAACCTCCCATGACAAACGAGATAGCTACAAGCCCCATGAGGAGTAAGATAATATGGGTGAATTCATATATTATGATACCATATTCGATTCAAAGAAGAATATTGCGTTGCTTGCAAGTTACATGTAGGATGTAAATCATGGTAGCAACTCCTGATCCTTTTTTACCTAAGTCCTAAGCTTTGCTCGATCTTAGCTTCGGGGAGTTGTTGACGTTCACTCAACCCTAATTTTGATCGTCAATATCTATGAAATAAAGTCTGTACCATGTTATTTGTGAAACAAACCATGGTAGGAGGCCATGTGCAAAATATGGGCTAAAGTGGGCCCATATGGTGATATACGGTCTGATTGGATGCTCACACTGATCTATGGACCCACATCTAGAACGTTGGTGCTCCAATTGCGATCAAACTTCATACACACATTGTGTACCTACAGAGGAGCCACCACTGAAGTAGGCGGGAGGGCCCAGCCACCAATGTCCCGTCAATCGACCTGGGTCATGGTCGCCCGAACCTCCATCTGAGCCGCGTGCAAGGAAGGTCGGTTTGAAACAACTCGTGACACTGGCGAGACTGAATGATATAGCCATTGCCCATTGGCCGAGGCAGGACAATCGACAATATCATCCTTGTTTTCATATGTATGTCATCTTCATGTGCAAAATCATCAATCGTAAACATATGAACCCTAAGACATTGGATACAGAGCCCAAATGATATATCTCTAGGAGTACTCCCTTAGTCCCAAATAGAATGACATTATGGGATTCGTGCTAGTCAAATTTTCTTAACTTGGACCAAATTTATAAAAAAATATTAGTAACATTTATATATATAAATAATTTTATTATAAAAAATATATTCAATAAATTATCTAATGATGCTAATTATGTATCATAAATATTAGTATTTTTTTTACATATATTTAGTCAAAGTTTAAAATATTTAACTTCTCGAAAAAACGAGAATGTCATTCTTTGTGTGACCGATGAAGTATGCTATAGTTCGTTTCCTTCTTATCTTAAATTCCACATCAATAATTGCTATTGCAAATAGAATGAGTGCCAATATAGTCGGCATGCCACTGTCCCACTATTGAACTATAAATGGGTCGGGCTATAGCAGGCCTGTTTAAGAGTGGGCTGTATGGGCAGACAAGTGAAGCCATATATATGGAAAAAGTCCACATTACCTCCCTCAATTTTCACGAAAGTCCGTTTTTCCTCTCTGAACACCAAAACCAGACAAAACACCTCACTCAACTTTTAAAACCGTTCATCTTAGCTGCCTGGCCCTGTTATAAGCGGTTTTGAAGACGGTTTTGTCTTTTTTCTTTTTTATTTATTTTGGCTGAATCTTTGAAAAATTATAGTAAATCATAGAAAAATCATAAAACAGAAAATCTAATTTTGTTGGACTCCACATGTGTACATCTACACAGTGAACATATAATATGGTATACTTTAGTACAAAGTTTTTGCTATAGCTTTAGATCTATGCTTTTCTGTAATTAAATGGAATAATTTATAGCTACAGTTCTATGGTTCAATTGTGGTGAATTTTTTATGATGGGCTAATTATTGTATGCTTAAACTTTAGTAAAAATTTCATACTCATTGAATCATGTATAACTTAGTTATAGATTTTATTTAGGTTTATGTTTGTTAAATATAAATAAATCTATAACTAAGCTATACATGATCCAATGAGTATAAAATTTTTACTACAGTTCAATCATATAATAATTAGTTCACCATAAAAATTTCATCACAATTGGACCATAGAAACTGCAGTTATGAATTATTTAAATTAATTACAGAAAAGCATATATCTAAAGCCACAACAAAAACTTTGTGCTAAAGCATATCATATTATATATTCACTGTGTAGATCTACTCATGTGGAGTCCAACAAAATAAGATTTTCTATTTTATGATTTTTCTATGATTTACTATGATTTTTCAAAGATTCAGCCGAATTTAAAAAATCATATTAAATCACAGAAAAATCATAAAACGAAAAATCTAATTTTGTTGGACTCCACGTGAGTAGGTCTATACAGTGAATATATAATATGGTATATTTTAGTACAAAGTTTTTACTGTAGCTTTAGATCTATGTTTTTTTAATTAAATGGAATAATTCATAGCTACAGTTTCTATGGTTCAATTGTGATAAAATTTTTATGGTGGACTAATTATTATATGCTTAAACTGTAGTAAAAAATTCATACTCATTGGGTCATGTATAACTTAGTTATAGATTTTATTTAGGTTCATGTTTGTTAAATATAAATAAATCTATAACTAAGCTATACATGATCCAATGAGTATGAAATTTTTACTACAGTTTAATCATACAATAATTAGCCCACCATAAAAATTTTATCAGAATTGGACCATAGAAATTGCAGCTATGATTTATTCCAATTAATTACAGAAAATCATACATCTCTAAAGGCATAGCAAAAATTTTGTACTAAAGTATACTATATTATATGTTCACTGTGTAGATCTACTCATGTGGACTCCAACAAAATTAGATTTTTCATTTTATGATTTTTCAAAGATTCAGCCGAAATAAATAAAAAAGAAAAAGATAAAACCACCTTCAAAACTGCTTATAACAGTGCCAGGGAGGTAAGATGAACGGTTTTAAAAGTTGAGGGATGTGTTTTGCTTGGTTTTAGAGTTTAGGGTGGAAAAGCGGACTTTCGTAAAAGTTGAGGGATGTAATATGGACTTTTTCCATATATATTGTTTCTTAAGAAAACAAGTCAAGCCATAAGATGAAGCACTTTTCTCCAAGCTATAAAATCCAAGCGCAAGCTTACAAAGAGCTGGTTTCAGAGCAAGTCCAGCTGCATGCAGGCCAAGCCGAACAACTTGATTTCACTATAATATAAACAAGTCCATTTTTTCCCCTTTGCAACCCCCCCAAGGAACAACAACAGTTTAGGGCTTGAGGCCGGCAGAATTGACGAGAAGATGCATTAACAAGAGTAACACACACATCAATGTACACTAAGCTCCCCATTATCATACTCCCCGTCTTGCATTTCTTTGTCATGTTTGACCATATCATATGCGCCATTTGCATCGCATCTGATGACCAGAGTACCAGACT